CTCTGAGTTTCTCTCGGAGCTCCAAACTCAAACAGAAATACATTTTAATGAACTTCCTTTTCCCGCTGGTCTGATTAGGAAGCAGAAACTGGAAAGTGGTCACGGCCATGATCCTACACTTGTTTTAAAGAAGCTGCGAGTTGCCATCGCTGTAACAATTTAACCACCTGATTTAAACAAGCTCCCCTCAGCGTCTCCTCGGGACTCCTCCCAGCACTGCTCCTCCTCAGATCTCTCCCTGGACGTCCCGTCCGTCCTCCGAGTCGCCTTCAATGAACTCGCTGCACCATCTCCAGGAGGTGCAGTGATTGGAAACTCGATGCGTGCTCCTCACCTGTTGCACCTCCACAGACTCGTGCAGGCGTTTCCTGTAGTGAGCAGCGATGAAAGCTTACACGTGACTGTGGCGGCGTGTGCCTCAGCTCCAGGGCAAACATGTCCTCTGAGTACAGCTGAGCTGCTGGCGGCGTGACGCGAGGTGAAAGGGCCGCTCGGTGTTATCAGCGGCGGTTGTGTTGGTCCTGCAGGTCACCGAGTTACTGCAGCGAGTCGATTCTCCTTTAAGAAGCTGCTGTCGTCTCATCGCCTCTGACAGCCCGCAGGTTTTCTCCTCGCTTCACTCGCCGTGAATTTATTTCCTCTGTGGCAGCAAAGCATGTTAGAGGCTCTCCCTGCAGTAACAGCAGAGCTGAACACACAGCTGAGAAGAAATCCTCACAAAAGATGGGTCAGGTGGAAACACCTCGCAGGTTTAGGTTCAGAGGTCACGGTCCAGTGCTCTGCCCTAACCCCATCACCTCAGGTGGAGGATAAACCCGATGAAACGGTTGAGCTGTGAGACGTGAGATCTGTTCCTGCATGAGTCGAACCCTCATCTAGAAATACTTTCATTATTGGGAAACTTACTGGTTTTACTGGTTTGAACACCATCAAACACCTTCCAGCTCCCTCTGTCTGTTTCTCTGGAGAATCACATTTTTAAGGGAAGTTCAAGTTTTGCTTTAGAGGAAAAGTTTAATGTCAGCAGTTTATTATGAACACAGACTCTGAACCTGCATGCATGTTAGTGACCAGCAGGGGGCGACTCTGGTTGTAAAGTGATGTCGGTTCAGTCGGTGCCAGTCGGGACCAACGAAGGATGTCAGAGGAACAAAGAGGAAGTCGGGTTTTTGTTTCTTGTCTAAACATGAAGAAACGTAGACTTTTCTCCTCGTTGAGGAACGTTTGGTTTTAATTTGCAGCAGCTTCACGTGCGTGACATCATCACAGCAG